GACGGCGGCGGTCCGGCCTGGCGCGGCTCATCCTCCGTGGGCCTCCCGGGGAGCCCTCGTCGCCACGGCCGGATCCGCTCCGAGAACTCGGGAGCGGCCAAGAGGGGGGTGTCCAAGAGGGGGGGGTGCAAATCATGACGGGCGGCATGTGCGCGGCCCAGCGGGGGGGCCAGGGACGTAATGAAATAAGATGAGGCGCCATGAAATCTGGGGAGATATCATGGCCCCCGCCATGATATCCCCCCCCCCCTAGTCATCACCCCCCTCTTTGCCGACCCCGAAGAGAACACGAGCCAGGACGGACCGGGGACCGCTTCTGAGCGGGTTAATTAGGGTCAAGTCGGGCACGACCCCTCTGCAGGAGGAGGGCTCCCAGGTAGGCAAAGCACGGTCAGGGGACAATTTCTCGCCCATCTTTGACTAGCTTTGAGCATGCCTTGCCTGCTCTCATCCGACGCCCCCTCTACAGGAGGAGGGCTTACAGGTAGGCAAGGCACGGTCTGGGGACACCTTGCCGCCCATCTCTGACTAGTTTTGTAAGCACGCCTTGCCTGCCCTCACCCGACGCCCCCTCTACAGGAGGAGGGCTCACAGGTGGGCAAAGCACGGTCTGGAGGCACCTTGTCGCCTGTCTCTGACTAGCTTTGAGCATGCCTTGCTTGCTCAGGGGGGCGCATGCGAACCCTACCCCGACCCCCCACGATTTCTGAGGGGGAGGGTGGGGTTCACTTCGTTCGGGAGCTCCCGAGCGAAGTGAACTCCGCCCTCCCCCTGCGGAATCCTGGGGGGTCGGGGTAGGGTTCGCCTGTGGCCCCCGATTGCTTTCACCCGGCGCCCCCAGTCCCGCCTGTAGGGGGACATGCCCGACCTACGGCTCGGGCTGGGCGGGGGAGCCGCCGCGGACCCCAAGCGGCCCCCGCCCGAGCGTCACACGTGGAACATAGCGAGGCCTCACGCTGGGCGCGCTGCCACGGCATCTGGTTATGACGTGCCGGGCTGCTGTAGCCTCGATCACCAGAGAGAACTTCGAGCACCATAAGAAAGTACGGAAACTGGAAGGTTTTCACGTGCGGGGCCCTGGGAGGCACTCGTCCGACACTGTCTCGACACTGCTTCGACACTTCTCCGGGTGCTGGAAATCATTTCTGGGATGTGGTCCCACAAGCGACGATCATTGGCGGTGTGCACAAGGGGTTGGAGGGAGGGGGGAGGGCTCCTTAGCAGGAGGCTGCTTCTCAGAAGGCGTCGGCCTTACATCTATGGATAAGGCCCGCGCCTCCTAAGAAGCAGGGGTGCTTCTAAGACGCCCTCCCGCCTCCCCCTACCCCCTCTGCGCGTGGCTGAGATCAAGAACGGGTCTTACGCGAGATGACGTAGCGATCTTACGGCGCAGCTTACGCGGGCCGCCGGCGCGGCACGCCAGATTGGAGGCCAGGGCGCTTAAGCGCGAGCTTACGCGGGCAGCTTACGCGCCAATGTCGGCGCGGACGACCCCTTTGTTGCGTCGCTCATGTGATGAGCAGGGGCCGACCGCCCCGGCATTCCTATAGACCTACTACGAGACAGGTTCCTCGAACCCCAAAAGACGCTCTCATCACAAAAACAATGTTTTCTTTTTATAACATGAGCCCGATGCGCTAAAACAAGACCGTCCCAGCAATAATGTTCTGAGAGCATTTCGTTCAAACCACAAACGGTTCTTAGGACATTATTTGGTGGGGCGACCGATGGGCCAGCCAGGACGCCTCGCCACTGCTTGTGGACTCCTGCCCAGGCCGGCCGCGACGGGTGCATCCATCTTCCTGGCAGCTCCCTACACCCCCCCGCAGAGGCAGGGAGTATCACTGCGAGGGGCCAGGCTCGAGGATCGAGGCTGTGAAACCTGCAAAGCCTCTGGGTGACTCCATGTGCAAGGGGCGTCAAGAAACCTCAGGAGACAATCTATGAGAACTCCAGTGAGGAGGAGGATCAAAATTATGCTGCATCCTCGGGGGACCTTGTCTGCCCTGTCGAAACCCTATCCGCGTCGAGTCCGTGTCGAATCCATGTCGGCCTCGTCGGATCCGTGTCGAATCCGCGTAGAATCCATGCCAAATCCGCGTCGAGTCCGCATCGAGCCCACCTTGGGCACAAGAAAGACACCAATTTGGGGGGACAGGCGAGGCCCCCCGAAGATGTAACGTGACGACACGAAGAGGATTTATCAGCAGTCCGTGGTAGTTATCAAGAGTGAACGCGTGCTGGCGGCTGCACTTATCGTCCGAGAGCAAAATCAAACGCTCCGAGTGCCCGTCAATGTCACACAGGCCGTCGGAGAGCGATTCCCAGAGAGTGGAGCAGAGAGGAGGGAGGCAGCGGCGAGAGGGGGACGTCACTGGCGCGCTGGATGGAAACACAGGCAAACGCTAACTGGCCAATAACTGATAGCGGCGGTCTTCACCTGTGCGATCCACGGCGCTAGAGGGCCGGGAGGTTACAAAGGGCTGGCGCCGAAACAGCGCTCTTGGCAAGCGGCTGTGGACCTTCCAGAGCCAGAAGCTGAGGCGCACCAGCGCGCACAGCATATTACAAACTTGACGGCCCCTTTCCCCCTCCATCCCTCCCTACCACTAATTACTCCTCGCGCGCGCCCCTGCGTTGGGCCCGGATATCTGGCGCTCCGACTTGTTCGATGGCCCCCCGGACATCTCGACCACTTCACGGGGCCTGGGCATCGTACCAAGCCATGTTGTTGACGGCCCCGAGCCCCAAAACTGGCTTCCCGAGGCCACTCTGGTGACAAACCAGCCGCCTTGATTTGTTCGACACCCGGGATTTCTGGATCTACCCCGACATCCCCCTCCTCCCTGCGCGCGCGCGTCCCCGTGCGCGGGAATGGGGGGGAGGGAGGGAGGCAGAGGGAAGGATGTGGAGGAGAAGGGAGGAGGAAGAGAGGAGGAGGAGGAGGAGGAGGAGGAGGAGGAGGAGGAGGAGGAGGAGGAGGAGGAGGAGGGAGTAGAGGAGGAGGAGGAGGAGGAGTAGAGTAGGAGGAGGAGGAGGAGGAGGAGGAGGAGGAGGAGGAGGAGGAGGAGGAGAAGGCGGAGCGGGAGGAAGAAGGGAGGAGGAGGAGGAGGGGAAGGAGGATGAGGAGAAGGGAGAAGGGAGGAGAAGGTGGGTGACAAACAGGTACCAACGCAGCTACTCTATGGGCCTCTCCAGGGATGCGCTCCGACCAGGACTCCGAAGAGTGGCTCGCTGTGGCGACGAAGACTGGCCAGGACGAGCAGCGGTATCGGCGTCGGCAACGCGTCCAGGCGGTTCAAAACTGCTGGGAATGGACGATCGACACATACTTTTTGCTGTCGGGCCGCCGGCTGCGGCACGGCGGCCTCGACGACGACGACGACGACGACGAGCGGGAAAATTCTCTTTGCTACTTCCAGGAGCGCCACGGAGACCCCCGAAGGGGGGAGCTTTTCTTGATCGTCTGGTCCCATGGCAACTTCCTCATCTGAAGAGGAGGAGGAGGAGGAGGAGGAGGAGGAGGGGGAGGAGGGGGAGGAGGAGGGGGGGAGGAGGAGGAGGAGGAGGAGGAGGAGGGGAGGAGGAGGAGGAGGAGGAGCGCTCCCTGGGGCAAGGAGGAGGGGGAGGAGGAGGAGGAGAGGAGGAAAGGAGGAGGACGACGAAGAGGCGGAGGAGGAGGAGGAGGAGGAGGAGCAGGAACTGGAGAAGGAGGAGGAGGCGGAGCGCTCCCATGCGCGAGGAGGAGGAAGAGGAGGAGGAGGAGGAGGAGGAAGAAGAGGAGGAGGAGGAGGAGGAGGAGCAGGGGAGACGAGGAGGAGGAGGAGGAGGAGCAGGAGGAGGAGGTGGGGGTAAGGCCCCCCCTCCATCCCCAACGCCCAACGGCAGCGGCGCAGCGGAGCGAGCAAGACCCGCTGGGGCAATGCCACGGGGGGTCACCACCTTGGGGGTCGCCAGTCCCGCGAGATCGAATCTTCGGCGATGGCCCAGATGATCTGGTGTGGGGAGCCAGACCCCTAGGTTATTTTCGGCCTCTGGGAGCCCTCACCGGGCCTGGGGACCGTCAACAAAACGACTCAGGATGGAAAACTGGTCCCGTGGGGTCGAGACCTCTGGGGGTCGACGTTCTGAACAAAATCATGACGTCGGGGGTCTGGGGAAGGGGGAGGTGCCAGCCGATAACCCAAGCTCCCTCGCTGCGGGCAGGCCCAGGTCATGCCCGCGCGCAACAACAGTGGGCACCCCCTTCGGGCCTGCGCACCCGACAAGGTCAGGTTATCCAAGGGAAAATTGGGGGGGCAGGCTCAAGAACCCGGGTTCTCGCCAGACCATTAAAAAACAGCCTCCTCGAAGAAGCGCCACTTCTTCAAGGAAGTGGGCCCGCAAGAGCGTTCCAGAGCTGTCCATGACGAGCCCAGACGTCAACAAAAACCCTCATCGGATTTCGGTCCTGGAACCTCGATTTCCAGGAGGGGCTGGCGACCCCATGCGCGGTCGGGAACGTCTGCTTCGCGTGCCGCAGCGGTCGCCCCAGCGACACGCTATGCCGTGCAAGCGGCTCGCGCGTCTCTCCAATCTGCGGGGCTGGAGGCCAGGAAGAGCTCGGGAAGCCGACAGCCTGGGGACCCGGACGCGGCTGGCGCGTCGCGCCGCCGCGTGGCGGGCCAGACCCGGCGGCGCGACACGCCTTGCCAGAGTGCCCGGCCGCGGCGGTGCCACCCCCATTGTTGGACGCCCGAAATGGGTACGGAAAAAATGGGTACAATACCCAACAACACATGTTGTCCCAAACCAACAGCGGCCGCTGTTGGTTTGGCGTCTTTCTGTCCCCAATTTTTTCACAGGCCGCGGCGGCGTGGACAGCGAGTCCTGTTCAAAATGAGCAAGACCTGCTGTTGGGCATTCTACCCATCCTTTCCGCACCCATGTCGCTCGTGCCGACCATTGGCCCTGCCCTACCTGCAGCCCAGCGGGGCGGCCTGCCCGGGGCGCCGGCTGCCTCAGGACCGGACCTGGGCGTCCTCGGCGGTGCACCGGGTGCAGAAACTCCAGGGGCCGTCCCAGTCCGTGCTGCCGTGCACGGTGTCCGTCCAGGAGCACCTTGTGCGAGGCGGCGGGGCCAGGGGAGGGGGAGCACGGGGAGGCAAAACGGCAGCAGCGGGGGGAGGGAGGGGGAGGCACACGCCTGCCCCAACGAAGTGACAGGGGAAGCGTTTGTGGATAGCGCCTCCTCCTCCTTCTCCTCCTCCTCCTCCTCCTCCTCCTCCTCTTCCTGATCCTTTTTCCGCCCCAGTGGGGCGGAAGAGGGATCAGGAAGAGGGCCCCCCGAGGGCGATGGCGTGCGCACGAAGGCGGCCACCGCCTTGGTGGGGCGAAACGACCGACGGCAGCTCAACGGCAGCTCCTCCTCCTCCTCCTCCTCCTCCTCCTCCTCCTCCTCCTCCTCCCTCTCCTCCTCCTCATCCTCCTTCTTCTTATTATTCCTCTTCTTATTATTCTTCTTTTTCTTCTTCTTCTTCTTCTTCGTTCCCTCCTACAGCCCTGCAGACGAACGTCTGGTGCGCCCACATCACGAGTGGGAGACGCAGCTGGTAATCGCTCGAAGGAATTGGGGTCAACGCGATCGCCCGACGGATCATGAAAGAGGAAACCAGGACGGGAAGCACAACCCCAACGAACGCGGGGGTGCATGCAGCCTTGACTGAAGGCGCAACCCGATAGACGTGGGGCGCAGAGGGAATGGTGCATCGGCCACAGAAACTAATGCACTTGGCACACCAATAACGCTGCTGAGCGGCGCTCACTGGTAGACGAGCTTAGGGCTCCTGGTTGCCATGTGCACTGAAAGAAAACAGGAACAACTCCGCTACCCCGGGCTGCCCTTCGTGAGCAGCAAGATTGCACGACTGCTGGAATTAGCAACGGGGTCCCAACGTTGGTGCTCGAAGGCGACCGTTTGGAACGCAACGCTCAGAGACTTCTTAATGTGGGGGCCGACTGGCTCGAGACAGGATGCCTCAGCGCGAATGGCCTCAGCGCCAATCTTGAAGGCCCAGCGGTCAGCAACGTCGTCGCAGAAACTCCGGGTGCCTTCGCGCCCGTTCAGCAGCGGCCTAGCCTCGGGGCTGACGAGGCGTGCGGGTATGCCCGGAGAGAACGATGCTTCTCGCTGTGTTGCCGAGGAACATCGGCCTGGCTGTGCCACTGGGGCCTCACCACATCAGTAGAAAGATCTTCCTCATCGCAGGCATCGCTCTCCACAAAGCACGAACCCAGCCGCGCCACCTTCAACGGGCGGCTGTTCGATGGACGGTTCCCTTTTCAAGTGCGCCAGGAATGGCCCGATGGACTCGGCGTGCGCGTGGCGCTCGGGGCCCTCCACAATCGCAGGGCGCATGGCCTGCGGCGCAGCAAAAATACGGTCGAAACGGACGGGAAGGGGATTCACGACAACGCGGATGTGGGACTCGACTTTGGAGCTCTTGTGCCCGTAATCCACGATGATCGCGCTGTCGACGTCCAAGCTCACAATCTGGAGCAAGCTGATCATGAGGCTGTTCCACACAGTGGGCCCCCCCCAGACGGGGAACAAGCCGATCAACACGATGAATTTCTCGTTGTGGCCGCACAGCTTGACAAGGCTGTCCCGGCCAATCGCCAGCTCCTGGATGACCAAACGAAGCCTGGCTGCAGAGGCCATGGCGCGTGGGAAGGCAAAAGGAAAAACAGCGGCTTGCAAGCGCAAGCTCGTGGCCCCGCCTTAGGCAGACGCCTGAGCCCGAGGGGTTTCCTGCTCCTCTTCCTCTTCCTCCTCCTCCTCCTCCTCCTCCTTCCCTCTCCTCCCTCTCTTCCCTCCCCTTCCCTGGACCTCCAGCGATTGGGTCGCTTGCGACTCGTAGGAGTCTTGGCCCACTAGAACCGCTTCTTTGGCTGTGACAGCCCAAGGTCCAGGAAGCGGCCGAAAGATCCAGAGCGAAAAACACAACACAACAAAACACTGCACGAATATCCAGCGTCTCCCGAACCCCTCCGTCCTCCCCCTCCCTCCCTCCCTCCATCCATCACCTCCCCCCTCCTCCTCCCCCTCCACCTCTCCCTGCTCCTCCAGCTGCTCCTGCTCCTGCTTCTGCTCCTGCTTGCGTGGCGGCGGGCCCTCAAAAGAGTCCGAGAGGGGGCCCACCACCATTGAGCGGTCCGCGCCGCGCGCGCCGACGCGCTTCCGACGCTTCCGGCGCCTCCGCCGCTGGGGCGCTGCAACCGCCCGCTCGGCCGCCTCCCGGCGGCCGCCGCCCGCCTGGCTGCATTAACGGACCGCCCCCGGGCTGCCTCCGGGCCGCCGCCGGGCCCTGCTGGCCGCCGCCGGGGTGCTGCCGCCGCGGCCCTCCCGCGTCCCCATGGCTACCCCTGGCCACGGCGCCAGGGGCGCCGGTGCCTCTGCTGCTCCTCCTCTCCCATCTGCCTCCTCCTGCTCCTGCTCCTGCTCCTGCTCCTGCTCCTGTTCCTGCTCTTTCCTCCTCCTCCTCCTCCTCCTTCCCCTCCTCCTTTTCTTCTTCCTCCTGCTCCTGCTCCTGCTCCTGCTCCTGCTCCTGTTTCTGCTCTTCCTCCTCCTCCTCCTCCTCCTCCTCCTCCTCTTCACCCCCAGTCCTCCGCTTCCTTCTCCGCGCCTTCCCCCTTCGCCTCTGTCTGTTTCCCCCAGGCCTCCTGCCGCTTCCTCCTGTGTCCGATTCCCTCACTGTCTCCCTCCTCCTCCGCCTCCTCCTCCCCGCCTCTGACACTGGCACGTCCCCATGCCCGCCTGCGGCATCAACATGAAACTTGACATCAGTCCCCAAACTTGGAACACGAAGATCAGGGACTACTCCAAAGAGACCAAGCAACGTGCTACAGCCAGCGACCAGGGTGCAGAATGGCAGCGACGTGCACGAGGCGCCCATCCAATCGCCAACCCACGGCCCGTCGCGTTCCCGAGGGGAGACAACAACAGTAGAACGCAGCGCGCCACACGACGAACATTCTGATACAGCGTGCTCCATGACCAGGCTGGAGACCAATGGTGAGGAGCTGAGGCCCTGAGGCTCAAAATGACCCACGCGTATCACTGTACCTCTGTGAGTCGAATTGCGATGTATGCCATCACAATGCCAGGGGCAACCGGTCAAACCAACGTGGGTCCCACCCCCCCCGCCTGACCTGGCCATTCCGCGAAGGCCAGGATAGTATGACGTATGGACATTGAATGTGGCAAAACCAGCGCCCGCAACGGCTAAACCATGGTAGACGATGATGGCGGGCAAAAAGGCATCCGCCCCCGCTGTACGTGCACATGATGTGCGAGACGGCCTTGTGTTTCTCTGGAGCTCACGCGGTAGACGGCCACCCGACGGCGATGAAGCGAGCACGCCTATTGATGTCTCAGGTCCGGAGCACGCGCTGGGACGCACACAGGAGACGTGCCAGCGCTAGGTGTCCTCCTTGCAGGCGCGCGGCAGACCCGAACATGTAGTATACCATCTTGCAGTATATCGTTTCCCGAGCGGTGTGGCCAGAAAGCGTCCTCCACGACGCATGTACCATACTCCAGATTTCGTAATAAAGGGAGGGGGGTCTCATTTCGGGGGGGGGGGGTCTCTTCCAGGCTATCTTGGAGGGCCTGGGGGGTCTGGGGACGCTGTTTTGGAGGGTTCTCCCACGGGGGAGGCCTGAAGTGGCTTGTCTTGGAGGGTCCAGACCCCCTCCCTTTTACTACGAAATCTGGAGTGAGACTCCTCGGAGCGCGCGTTGCCCCCCGGGAGGGCGACGAGCACACGGCACCCCGCACGTTGGGGCGACGCCGATCGCACGGAGGCGGGGGCGCCGGCTCGAGCCGGCGGCTCCTGCCGCACCCGAGCAGGCCACGCGCGAGCGGCAACAGCGTGGCCTGGCACGCATCGCCAATGCATCGACGATGCATCGTCGATGTATCGTGCATCGGCGATGCATCGGCGATGCACTGGTAATGCATCGGCGACGTCGGCGATGCATCGGCGACGCCTGCGTGAAGAAACTTGGGCTCCGCATCGAGCCGCATCGCCGATGCATCGGCCATGCGGCGCGATCCTCCGACCCCACCTACTCTTTGGACACCCGAAAGGGGTACCGAAAGAATGGGTACAATGCCCAACAGCAAATGTTGTCCCAAGCCAACAGCGGCCGCTGTCGGGCAGGCGGCCTTCAGTCTCGAATGGACACAGGCCGCGGCGGCGTGGACGGCGAATCCTGTTCAGAATGAGCAAGAACTGCTGGTGGGCATCGTACCCATTCTTTCCGTGCCCAGATGGTCTGGTACCGGAAATTTTCGGTAGCGATTTCGACGCACCCCGAATTTCGGTAGCGACCGGATCTTCGTTTGAGGGTGTTGAAATAGCGGATTTCAGAACGGTCTGATACCGGTATTGGGCGCTACATTTCGGTATTTCGGTAGCGACCGATCTCTGCGGAGCGCTACTGGAAATTTTCGGTAGCGGACCATCAGGGTGCCCATCTCGGGCGTCCAGAGCTGCTGGAGCAGGGGCCGGCCGTCCCGGCATCCCTCTGGGCCTACCCCGGCATGTTCTCAGAACCCCAAACTCTTCGAACAACAAAGACAATGCTCTCAGAACATGAAGCCGATGTGCGAAAGCAAGACAGTGCCAGCCAGGATGTTCTGAGGACATTTCGTGGAAACCCGGAAAGGTTCTCAGAACATCCTTTGGTAGGCCCATCAGCACGCCAGGACGCTTCGCCACTGCTTGAGCTGCGGCTTCCCCTTCCCTCCCGGCCCCCCTCCTGCCGCAGCGCCACTCGATGCATCCCCGATCCGCGCCGCGCGATGCTAAGAAGCTCAGGTGGGCGACAGCCGCTGCGCGCCGCGGGTCACGCTGGCAGGCACTGGTAGGACGCTGCCGTTCCCGTAAGGAGGGGGAGAGGGGGAGGCCTCCTCCTTCTCATCATTGCTCCTCATCCTCCTCCTCGCTCATCCCCCTCCTCGCTCCTTCTCCGCAACCCGCGTTCCCCGTTTGCACTTCTAGAGGCCTCCCAAATGGGCTCCGAGCGGACGTGGTCGTAGGAGCACGCCACATCGCCGATGCATCGCCGATGCATCGGCGACGTCGGCTGTGCATCGGAATCGGCGTGGAAAAGATCCGGCACCACATCGAGCCACATCGCCGATACATCGGCGATGCCGCGCGATCCTCCGACCCCACCTACTCCGAACCCCATCTGAGGGGCCCAGATCCCAGACATGCGACGTCTTGATATTTTCAATCTGCGGTTTCAGAGAGTCGCGACCCTTTCCGAAAAGTCCGTTGTCCATACCGAGTAGATTAGTTGAAAGTCTCGAGGCCTGGCGAGGGCTCCCAAAGGCAGAAAATTGCCAAATAAGCTAGCGCCGTGATTCGATCACACGACTATGGAACGGCCCCTCTTTGTAACGCCGCTCGCATGCAGCTGAGCTTGCCTTCAGCGGAAGACGCAGATTCCTCTTTGAGTTTGCGGAGGGAGGCCCTCCATAATCGCACGGCAGAAAACTGCCAAATAACCAAAGAGCCGTGATTTTGCCACGACGCGAGCACGTCTGGGAACAACTCTCTTGGGAGCGGGGCACCAGGGGGCCGTGATGTCCGAGAACCCGATCGACTTGTCGTTCTCGGCGACACAACCGCTGTACTTGCCGCCGTCGAATGTGAACTCTGCGACGCAGTGCTCCTGTGGCGGGCGACGCGAGGCGCTCCGTCAGCGGAGCCGAAGCGAGAGCGCGGCCTCCTCCTCCATCAACCACCCCGAGGAGTTGAGTACTACAGTCGGGGCGTTGACCTAAGGAACCCTAAATAAGGAGCGAGGCCCCTATTTTCCATAAGTGGAACTTCGATTTCGTATTGAAAACCTAAGGGACATCCAAGGCAAGCTGCGAAACAATTAAGGAACACGGAGCCCCTCCCCAACGAAAAGGGTTCCTTCTTCAGGGCCCCGACTGTATTCCTGCTCCTCTTCCTCCTTCCCTCCCTGCCCCTCCTGCAACCAGTGGTCCGGTTCCCCTCCTCCGCAGAGCCCTCAACCTCACAATCCTGCAACGAACTATGATCGTCCTCTTCGTTCTCCTCCTCCTCGTCGTCATCGTCCTCGTCATCCTCGTCGTCCTGCTCCTTCTCCCTGTCCTACTCCACCTGCTGTTGCTCACCCTCCTCCTCCTGATCCGCGTCCTCCTGCTGCTGCTCCTCCTTGTGCCCCGCCTTGTCCTCGTCCTCGTCGTCGTCGTCGTCGTCGTCCTCTTCCTCCGCCTCCACCTCGCCTCCTGCCTCCCCCCCGCCCCCCGGAGGAGGAGGACAAAAACGAGGACGAGGAGTAGAAGGACGAGGACGGTGAGGAGGAGCGGAAGGACAATGAGGATGACGAGGGCACCCCCCCCAGAAAGAGACTTTGGCTGCTACCCTCCCCGTGGCACCTGTTGTCTAAAACCATATTTGCACCCAGCTGGCTCTCATTTCTGCTGCTCAAAAAGCTGCGCCTAGACAAGAGGATGTCGGTCATGCACCCTGGTTGCCAAAGCGTTTTCGCTGTCGGGGGTTCCCTTGTCTCGACCCTGTTCCTGGCCGTTTCCGAACTTTTCCCGACTGCTCCTGGCTCGGTTGGGCCATCCCTTGATCCATACTGATCCTGCCTTGCCCCTGTGCTTGCGACTGGCTTTGAGATTCACTGTCTCGGCCCTGCTCCTGGCTGCTCCTGGCTCGGCCCTGCGCTAGCGTCGTGGACGAATTCTCTTCGATCCGGCCCTGCTCCCCACTGCTTCTGACTCTGTTCTGCGCTCTGGCTGCTCGCATTTTCTTTGGCTCGGGCTTGCTCCAGAACGATCCTGGGCTGGCTTTGTGTTCTTGAAGGGCAGCGATCGTGGGGCATCGGAGCAGGGGGCGGAGCATTGAGCTGCAGTCGGCGATGCCTCGCCGATAGGTCGGCGGGGTCGATCTGCATCTAGCTGCAGCGATAGCGAAACCGCATGGCCCTGGCGGTGGGATGTGCTATCGGGCCCCAGTCGGCGATCAGTGGGCGCCTGGGGGTCGAAGCGCCCCCCGCTGTGAGTGTCCGCCCCTGACGTTGCCCCTGATGCTTCTTGGCTGCCCCTGCTCATGACTGCTCCAGGCTGTTGCCCCAGCTGCGGAGTGTCCCTGGCGCGGCCTGGCTCCCCTGCCTGCTCCCGGCACAGACCCTCGCCCAGTCCGTCCCTCCCTTTTCTGGCTCGTCCCCGGTCCCGACCGTGCCGGGATCGGCCCGCGTGTGTTCGCACGCCTCGGGGCGTCCAAGACGGGGGCGCCCAGGGGGGGGGGGGGTCGCAAATCATGGCCCGACTCGTGTGCGCGAGTGAGTGGGGGGCCAAGGGATGCATTGATGAAGGGGCCCCAGGACACACAAATGAATACACACAAATAAAAAGATTCCCCATAGTTTCCCATATTGTCTGGGTTTCTGTCTTCCCCCCCACTTCCCAT